CTGCTTTATATCCTTCATTATAGGAATTCTGTTCAGTTAGTCTTCACGTCATTCTCAGCGATGGTTGCTCTATAATTTAGTTGTAACTCTGATGTGGTCATGGGAGAAGGTGAGCACAGCATTTACCTACTCCAATATCTTGCTTGACTGGAAGTCCATACCAAACGATCCTTCTTGTTGAAGGATCTTATAGTAACTTTCTTTTGAATTCTCCCCATGACAGTGTTTGAAAAATCAGCTCTAATGATCTGGAATTGGATCCTCTGCATTACTCCATTCCCAGCTTTTCCTCTATTTTCTCAACCTCCTCCTGGCCTACCATCTTGGTTGCTCCCTTGAGCATTCCAACCTCTACCAGGAGGGGAGTAGGAAATAGGATCAAACTTAATACTGCTCCAATCACCTGCCTAGTGATGGATGTGGAACATACTCAGAGCTAAAAGAAGATCCCAGAATTAATTGTGGTTCCCCCTTTGTGCACAGAGGCAAACAGGACTCCTGAAGACCGTGCACAGATGATGAAATCTCATAGGTGTTACAACAGATAAACTCACATGCACTCACGTGCATATACACACACACTTTAATTTCTATAAAGCTTAGGAATAAAAGCACTCTATAATCTCCTTCTGATGCTAAGTTTACAATGTCTTCCAAACTCACAAAGTTGACTCAGGAGAATGCACCAAACTCCTTTCATCACTTCTTTAACTTGGCCACCTGTGTGAGCTCAGAGGAAAGCGCATTGACTTCACCTGAGTCTGCACTGAGCCTCGTGACCTCTCACAGGAGATGATTCAGCACAAAGGCACACTCACCTCAGAGAGGCCACCACCGTTCTCAGCTCTGTGGACTCATGAGGACTTCCACAGGTATTTCTGGAGCTAGAAGTGGGCAAAACTCAGTGCAACCACAGAAGCTCTATGAAAACTATATATTTTCCTCCGTCATGATTATTAGCAAAGTGGAATGATTTAATGCCAGTTTAGAAAACTCGGTAGCCAATAGAAAACATGTACTTATTCCAAAACCAACTAAAAAAACATGAA